AATCACAAACAAGAAACTATGGGAACAAACAAAACAAGAACCAACTGCTCAAGAAATATGCAGGAGAAAATGGAGATGGATTGGACACTCGCTGAGGAGGCCGTTGGGTAACATCGCGCGTCAGGCCAACGCTCGAGTGGAACCCGAAAGGGAAGCGGCGAGTGGTTCGTCGGTGCAAGGGTGACATGGAGGAGATCGTGTGAAGAGGAGCTGAAGCAGTATGGAGTAACATGGCTGCAGATGAAAAGTACAGCAGAAGACAGAAACAAGTGGAGACGTTCAGTTGACGCCCTATGTTCCACTAGGAACCCAAGGGAATAATAATAATATATATATACAAGTAACTGTTTATTTATGTTTGCGATTTCCTGTTAGTATATATCCTACCGCTTACTAATCAGCTTCATTTGGGTATATACGCCTATAAGACGGAGGCAACTACATACAACTGACGTTCCCCAAATAGGACAAACCGTGTGTGGCCACCATGAAGCAAGTAATATCTAGACACTTATCCAGGACACCAGATGGACGAATTAAAACTGATCAATTTCGTCAGATATTTAGGGTATCAAAAAAGTTCATCGACTCAACTGAATCTCAACCATTTCTTTTTTAACGGTCGATTTGCTTATCTGTGCTGATCGTCTCAGGTGTAGGCATGTGAACTTTCAAAGAACGGTATGTCCCTTTTTTAAGTGGCGCCACTTCCATCCAGTGGGTATTAGGGCTTTTCAATAAATAGACCAAAATACATCAGCATGATTTCATGAAAATTCAATAATATGCATTTAACTTTTGAACTTACTGCCTAATTTAATCCATTATAATAATGAACAGATATCAGTATCAACAGACATTTTCTAATAAAAATGCAGCAAATGTACTGCATTCAAAGAATATGGTGCCAACGATATTATATACGCCAGAATAAATCTTTAATTCAAAATTTCATTTGAAAAGCATACAAAAATATAACTTGTCATTAAACCACCATAGTAACGGACTATGACGCTATAATTAGTGGGGATATGCGATAAAGCCACTCCAGCGCAGTTTCTGCGTTGGGGTGTGATTGTGTATTTCTAAACTCTTTTATACCATCGTTAAGAAACACTTCCTCGAAGAGCTGTAAGTTTTATATTCTCTCTCTTCACAAGTTGGGTCGCTGTTAAGAGCAGCCTGGTCACCAAGGTTTGGTCGGTCAGGCTAAACAGTCCACGGATGGTGTGGCTAAAGCTCAGGTCTAGCAGGTTGGATGACCACACAATAGTCACTGGCTTTATTTCTAGTTGAAGTCAACCGAAAATAAGCTCGAAGTCGTTCAATTAGTGTGACTAACCAGTTTTCTAGGGATATATCAAATAATTTCAACAGAAAGAATAGGTGATCCAGTTATTTATGTGTATGATAAATATACAATGTTCGTTAACTTGCAGTCTGAAAAGGAAAACCTAACCGAAATTGTCCCAACCACATATCCTTGGTTTTCTCGAAAAGTATACGTTCCTCTCAGTTTCCGTTACGTAACTTTTCCACCTCACATTTTGTTTCGTCGCATGTTGGGAATTCTTCGTTGTAGTATGTCGTTACGCTACATTTTCGACCTACTTGAGTGATTTTATACAGCTTGTTGAGAGGCTATTGTTTTTCCTTCTGAGTAAGCAGTCCGTTGACTGGAGTTTTTATTAAAATGAATACCAGGCTACTAGAAGTTCTCTTGATGTTTTTGATGACAATATTTTCCCCAGTCGAAGTTGTTCTTGTAACTTTCTACATCCAGCTACTGCAGAAGCCAGCATTGGACTACCTGAAAGGCCTACAGACATAAACTCGCAATAAGAAGACACATTTTTTCACCTTTGATCACAATGCAGGCAGACAAATACAAGCATCACCTCGGTATAAAAGCTCTATGTCTATGTCTTACTACCAATTCAGTAAATGTGTGGTGAGAGCTGACTGCTAGCCAAAATTGTAGACAATGATTAACGTCCCGAATCGGGGTCATGAGAAAAAAACAATAACAAAGCTTAACCTTGAGGAACTCACCAACCAATCACAGTAGACTGAACGTGTGTAAATACGATTCGTAGATATATGGCCTGACTTTCGAACAAAAAAACGGTCACAGGCAGTACAGAATAACATTCAGCAAGAAAACAACCAATCAAAAGACGTTGCTTCTCTGCTAACAATAACGCTAATAAATCTAAATTTTCTCAATAAACAATCTGTTTCCTGGCCCTTGTCTTCTGTATTTACAAATGTATTTCGCCTAATGTAGGTAAAGAGGAGGAGATTACGTAAGGTTGGCCAACTTTGTACTAAAACTGCTAATTATTAACACTTTAAGGTAATCCAAACACCATATTTTCCCCATCGTTTTACTTCCTAGTGGAGCACAGGGCTTCAAGCTTGAACTATAAGTAGTTGCTAGTCTGACACCACTTTCCTTTCTTCTTTGCTGAATTTACTACTGACTAAGCGAAGTTTAACAATACTTCAGTCGGAAATCAATCTCGGACCACATGCGTGATTGGCTACCATTCTACCCGTGAACCACCCACGCACCAACCCCTTAAAGCAAACGATAAATTCATTCAACCACAACAACAATAAAAAAGAAACACAACCAGGTCAGTTAATAATTCTATACCAAGTGTTGTTTTATTTTTATTGTCACCAGGTCAAATGTACAAACATTTGTTTTGCTCATAATACAATTTTCATTACAAAAACATTATTATCAATGTCATCATCACCATTATTATTTACTATATTAGCAATGGTCATAATAATAATAATAATTAGTGGTAGTAATAGAGCAAGTAATACAACTTATGATGATGATAATAATAATAATAACATTGGGAGCACTAATCAACAATAACTGGGCCTCCCCCTCCTACACGCTCTCCGCCCACGTCTTTTCCACAAACATACATACACACACATACATACACACGTACATATTATATTCACAAGCAAACAAAACAGACAGACAAGAAAAAAAAGGGGGGGGAACATTGTAGATATGAGTGAAATAATAAGCCTATCAGCAGACAATAAATAATTCATAATTTTATGTACAAAATATTATAAAATGTATATGCATATGTATGATGTATAATAATAATAATAATAATAATGTGATGTGCATTTAAGTGTTAAAAAATGTCTCTGTGATCAAGCTAAATAAATGACACATGTGAATATGAAATCATCATTAAAAAAGGAGAAGTAGAAGAAAAATAAAAATAAAACACAGATCCAAAGAAAAGATCTCGATCACAATCACATTCATCAGTATCACCGCCATCATTATTATGATTATCATCAACATCAAGGTGGTCACGCAATGATTTGACACATTGCCTCCACTTTTGATAACAAAACAAATAGAAAAAGAAAACGAAGTGGTTGGTGTCTACAATTATTTCGTTGATTTTGATCTTCTCTGTTAAAAAACGTCCCCTCCCCGCTCCCATGAAAAAAAAACTCCTAGGGAAAACCTGAAGAAAAAAAATTTGTGGAGAAGCCCAGAACTCATCCACAATAAAACAAAAAACAGACCGAAGAAGAAGACAAACGAAAGATTAGGGCGGGCAGGAATTAGTTGCTTTGTTTTCTGGTTTTGAAAGAAAAATGCACAACAAAGACATGCATAGATCCGTTGAAATCATACCACTGATTTTTATGGTATGAGTTTTGTGCGATTTATTCTCTCTCACTCATAAATGTATTCACATTGTGTTTTTAATTATGTATGTATGTATATATATACGCATGTATTTATAAGACTACTAGCGATACTACTGATAACAATAATAGTAATAACAGTAGTAGTATAATTTTAATTCTTTTAAATAATTGTTTATTAACTATCCCTTACTTACTTACTTACTTAACTCTTGTCATCAATGCGATAATAACAAGAAGTTAATTGAATAATAAAGGCATTATGACAACAACAAAAAAAGAACAAGATAGACAAAATAAAGTGTACAGTGAAAAATGAAGTAAAGATGATGAATGCAGAGAAAGATTCAATCCTAATTTGTTGAAAGACCACAAAGTGATTATTACACATCATCCTTTTATGCATCATCGTTGAAATCATCCCACTCTCCTCCTTCTCCTCCTCCTTTTGTACTATTCATCAATTGAGATGAATTAATGTATGCAATGAGGATTTGTGGACATGATAGAGTAGGGCGGGGGCGGTGGAAATACACATATATATATGTATATATGAGGTGAACATGGGACTACCAGCGGTAATTAAGTATGGAGTGTGTACTATAAAGATAGGCTGGGTTATATAATATTTATTTATAGCGTTTTTACCCTACCCTAGTGCGCCTACCTTATTGTCACACCTCGCCATTAGCACACATCCCAGCACAGCACAGCCCCGCTCCGCTCCGCCCCCACATTCTTCTATACAGCAGAAAATATAATAATGTAATGCAAAATTGATAAAAAGAGAAAATTAAAGCACCCAGGTAGGTAGGTACAAAAATCGATGGCATAAATTTAAAAAAAAAATTAATGAGAAATATTATTAAACAGAGAAGTTACAAAATGTACCTCTAACTACTGAATAGTAGTATTAGTAGTATTGGTACAACTCTGCGAAAAATGATCATTATTGTGCGCTAAGATGATAATAAACACAGTTGAACAGAAAGGCAAAATATCAGAGAGTCAGAGAAAGTCAAAGAGAAGGAATAAAAACGGAGAGATTTTATTCCAATTTTATGTATACCATTTAGATCAGTGTTTGTCAGTGATTAAAACATCACAGTTATGTTGTATTGTTGTCCCCTAATTGATTTTATTTCGCAGTAGTAGTATTAGTAGTAATAGTAGCGAGATTTCATCGATCAATCAGAAATAAAAATACTCTCTCACAGTATTGTATGTGTGTGTGTGAGTGATTCATTTTGAGGCATAATGATGAATATATGTATATATATAAATACTATAAAATCGCTTCAAGCAGTTGATTTATTCATTGATGAGGGCGTAGTCACACTAGGTACCTGAGGAGCTCGTTTCTTCTGTGATGCTGTTGTTGTAATGCCTTGATTTCCAGGAATAGTTGAAGTAGTGGTAGTACTACTACTCATAGTACTACTACCGTGGGCAGAATTGTTCACAGTAGTATTGTTAGCGTCTAGATTTGCAGTTGTCGAACTATCTGATAGTTTATTACTGTTAGCAATACTTTTATCAGAATTAGAGTTGGATAATTCTAATTGTGTTCGTTGTGTATCTGTTTGACTTTGTTCAGATGTATTTGTAGGCGTAGCTCGATCTTCTGTTGGCTCTGTAACATCCCCGTCATTAGTTATCTGTAAGGGAAAATAGAAATGATAACAATAACGATAGCTTTGTTACGGACGAAGTTAAGCTATAAGACCCCAAAACAACAAACGAGCATGCCAATGACTTCTAGCTGACCTATCATGCTAAAATGGCGAATTTTCAGTTAGAGAATAAATAGTATTTTGGTGGATGCTGACTAGCAGTTCAATTCAGCCAGGATGTGCATTTCGTCCTATCTGGGATTCATCCACTGGCTGGGTGTACCTGCATTCCCCAGTGAGTGGTGGTGGTGTTATCACTGAGGCTCGAACCCAGTGACTATTGTTTTAAATGCCAAAGCGTTATCTGCTAGACCTCTTGGACTACAAGAGTCACTTCTTGAACAACCGGTGTCAGTTATTATCCTTTATTCAGTTCTGATTTTCTCGTTTGAAACGATGGGTACTGGGTTCGAGTCTCAGCGGGAACGCGACCACCATTCACTAGGGAATGCAAGTACATCCAGCCGGTAGACGAGTCCCAGATGGCACGAAATGCACATCCTCGCTGGATTCCACTGCTAGTTTCTTTTTCTTCCTTCACGTTCCCCAGTGGAACATAGGGCTTCAAGCTAGTGACCTGAAGTTTATGTAGCAGTGTTTATTTTACAGGATGGGGTTGCTAGCCTCATGTCCAACCTTTCCTCTTCACCAGCATTATTTGTGGCTTAGCGAAGTAAAGGAGTGCGTCGGTGACCGGGGATCGAACCCCGGACCATGTGCATGGTCAGCGAGCGTCCTAACCACTATGCCATCGACGCACCCACTGCTAGTCACTATCCACCAAATGACTTCAAGTTAATCTTCAGACATCGTCGAAGCGTTTACGCTAGGAGACGACATGGAAACAGATGTCGAGCATTTAGGTTCAATCAATCAATAGGAAAATTAAAATTGAATTAAAGAAGAAAGCATTATATTTATGAAACAAAGGATTAATAAAACATAGAAGAAATTACACAGGAGACGGTTCTTTGACAGCGTCAATCGCTCTACGGATTTCATAGACCCAAACACAGGAATTCACACGATTATATATATATATATATATATATATATATATTGATAGCATTATTAGAAGACGGAGATTATCTGAAAAATGTGATGTATTTGCGCTATACATTTCAAACAATCCGACCACACATTTACTTGTCAAGTCAATATATATGGAAAAGTTAAATTAAACAAAGTGACAAAAAAAGAATTAAGAATAATTAACACAAACGTTTGGTAATCTAATCAAATAAGGTTAAGGGTAATAACAAACTGTTTTTGAATACACAAGGGGAGCTTAAGTTTATGAATGGCTATAGCCTCAGCGTATTTCAGTGAACGTCCTTGACCGTTTTTATAGATGACCTTAAAGGCTGAGTTAACATTAACCTTATGGTTCATCTCGATTAGATGTTTAGCTATAGACGAAGTTGGTAGTCTGACACCTGCATCTATTGGCTTGTCACAATTCATCTGTTTTTCTAACCATTTTGAGATATGCTCTCCCACCCTCACGTGCAACGCGCGATTACTCCTCCCTATGTATGTATGTCCACACACACACACACGAAAATTGGTAAATTGTGTGGGATGTGATATAATCACTTGTGCACTTTTGAGGTTTGCAGTGAAGCATATTTTTAGCTTTTTCCACAATTACAAGCTGGGCTGCATAGTAGGTCCTACGGATGATCGAATTAAACCTTTGTCTCAAAATCCTACTATTTATTTCCCCATTATATGGTAATTTGATGAAAACCTTTTCATATATAGGATTAGAGACATTTACGTACGGGACTCAAAACGACACTGTCTATATCCACTCAGATGAATACATTGTAGAGTGTGACTTGAATTCCCCCAATCAAAACACCTATAGGCGATTTGGAAGTATCTTTACATTATTTCAAAGAATGTTATCCTGTTCAGCTTTTTTTAATGCTTCATTAACTATTTACCGAAAATATGACCTTTTAACGTGATTGGCTGGCTCATTTGTTTAGAGTCTTGCGGTTTAATCCCCACCACAAATAATACAGAATCTCAGTGTTTATTTTTTGTAAAGTAGTTACTGTTCTCGTAAGAACTGCAAGAAAAAAAGTAGTATTGGTTTTGTAGGAATTGTGATTGATTGGTTGGAGGGTTTCATCATGAGTTGACATCAGGTAGAGAACCATTGGAAAACCTGTGAGTACTGGACAGCTGTGAAGGCGAGGCGGTAACTCGTCGAAGAAGCCATTGAGAAGTGGTCGCGCTATGTCATGAATTGGCAGAAGTTAGAATTCATAAACTGGCCATTGGATCGGGTTCCAGTGGCTTAATGGTCTACGAGCTCGCCTTGTAACCAGAAGGTCCTAGGTTGGAACCCCGGCAGATGCCTGGTGCTGCAGAATCCCAGACTAGGAAGAAACAGCTGTCCAGTATTCCCTGCGGGTTTTCCAATGGTTTTCTAACTGATGTCAGCTCATGATGAAACCCTCCAATCAGAAAAGTAGTAGTCAACAGTATATGCTATGACGCAACTTTCTTTGATCCAATCTCCTATTCTGTTTCTCCATAATTTACTTTAGGAACTAGGTTGGAACCTAATCAGAAATACCTGTGAACACTTACGCTCTTAAGATAATCGGGTTCGATCGTATATACTCAGATCAGAGAGGCAAATGAGTTTAAAATCAATCAAACCGAGTCAATCGCTGATGAGTTCCATCCAAACAAGCGAAACTGTCCCCTGGTATTTAGATCGCTTCTATCTGACTAATAGGCACCACAGGTTGACGTCAGGGGATTCTGATTACTCATGTCAACTATACTGCCATGCTATTTCGCTTGCTTTCTTGAATGGCAGTTAGTAATATAAAGCAAACCACAGATTGTGATATGAATATTTCTCACTATGAACTATGCTATTTGCAGATAAGGGATTTGATTCTAGAGTTGAGTCTGCTACACACAGTCATTAGAAAACTTTTAAAAAATATCACATAAGACAGCTACACTTTTACATAACTAACCTAAATCAGGTTGACAATGATAGATGTGCAGCTGTTTCAACCTACTACATGACTCCTCAGCGGTTCATTATCCAGGATGCTTTCTGGTCTTCAGTAGATTTTGATTTTATTAAAACTAATTTAAAGCTAAGAGCCATACTTATCGTGTGAGGGCTGATGATATTACCCAGTTGTCTAATAAGCTTAAGTAGTTGGAGTGGGACTCGGACCCATGACCCATCACAGTTGAAAACCGAGTGTACTTTAGTTAATCCAACTACATTTCCAGTTACATAGTGCATTCATCATCTTGATAAAGTAGTTTAAAAAAGCTTTTGGAAAAAGTAAATTAACTTACAGCTGTTTCATTGAATCCATCATCAGGATAAGAAATATCTTGATTATCAAATTGTGCTCGAGCTCTGTTAGCTGCCACGACAGCAGCAGCTTCCATTGCCAATACTCTTGGAGCTGGTCCAATACTAGCTGCTGCAATAGGCACATTAGCACGAAAACGTTGGACAAGTTGAGTTAACTCTCTAGCTAGTGTAGCACGAGCTGTTGTATTCGATGTGGGAATCTGAAGTGTTAAAGCTAATTGTTGAGCATTTAAATCAGGATGTAAGCCAATCACACCACCGTGTACACCGGAACCATTTAAATTTGGTGCATATTCCTTGAGACCAATTTCATCTAGCCAAGCTTGAACACGTTCACAGGACCAAACTAATAAATCTGTTCGTCAATAAAAAAACAGAAAATATGCGAATCAAGAATGTTTCAATGTCCAACAAAATGGTTCATATATTATGTTCAAGTTGCGTTTTCATATTTTTACTGTACTTTGAAGTTTCTGTAGTGGGTGGATTGATTTTCTGGGGGAAGATCGTTAGCCCCAAGCCCAACACCTTTCCTGTTTTTTCGGGCTTAGGACGGGCTACTAAACTAGGCTTAACAAATGTACCGAAGAGAATGGAGATAGTTTGGGTACACGCTGGAGAGACCATTGAGTGTCATCACTCGCCAGACAGGCCCTCGAGTGGGACCCGAATGGGGAACGACGAGTTGAGAGATTATGGGCAATCGTGGAACCAGCTAAGAAGGACTGCGGAGAACAGGATGGAATGGGGCTGTTCTAAGGAAGCTTTAGGTTCCACTGAGAACTCAAAAGAATAATAAATATATAATATAAAACATATATTGGTTTTTATTTCCAATCGACAGAATTTTATTGGAGCAATATGCTTGATCTCTGTTGTGACGTCAGTTCCGGAGTATTTCGGCCCAACGGGGAAATACGATATAACTAACTTAGACAAACAACATCCTTGCACAAAATGTGAATCTCATGGCCTAGCAGCCTAGTGGACAACGTGGCGAGGTTAAAGTAACCAAAGTCAAAGTCCGTCAAAATCTGACCTTCAAGAACCAGTCGGATTTAGGGAAAGCTGAGAAACGTCATTCCAAATCAAATCATTTTATAAAAGAAAATCCGTTTGTGAACGCAGGTACAGCATTCTACTTATTCCCTAGGTACTTTTTTCTGTTAAGGCTTAGGGTTAGGGGTTGGTCAAAGAACTGTTTGAAGAACATCAGTGGATCCCAAAGTGCCATGATCTACAGTCATCTGCATGAGTAAATCTATAACGCATGGTACAATTTCTCTATGGATTATCTTTGGAGTTACTGGGAAACATTCTTATAACACATAAGAGATACAATTATCCAGTGTAATATGATGTTTGCAATGTTTTTTATACAATTTTTTAACGGTTATTCGACTTTTTTCGCATCTGAATTCTGATTGGTTGTTCAAGGTCACTGGGTTTTAGCTATGATAATTTAACTTCGCCAATAACGCTTTAGTATTTGAAACGATGGCCGTTGGCGTGGGAAACACTATCACTTACTGGTGACGCAGGTACATCCAGATGACGAATCCTACATAGGATGAAGTGCGAGTTTTAGATTCCACTGCTACCCTTGAATAACTAAATAACACAAAGTTTTAGCTTCCATCCGTAAATATTAACATTTCTTCAAAATTCACTTTAAGATTTTTTGTTGCTGTTGTTGTTATTTACTTGTAAACAATTTCTAGACAGCTTAATTAAATAAACAATTTGTTCTCGATAAGTTATTGATCACGAGGCTCTACAGTTATATGCATCCATAATAATAATAATAATAATTATTATTATTATTGACAATGTTAATTGTTTATGTATAACATCGAATCAGATGATAAATAGATTATATTTTATCGCAAGAAACTATTCAACTAGCATGTGAAAGACACGCTATCGAGTTGGGTCACTTCTTCAACATGTATATACCAGTTCACTTGGTCGTTTGAAGCGGAGTACATTGACTGTACCAGGCGTCCGCTTGTAAAACGCGTTCGGAAACACTATCCAGCCTGTCTAGGAAAAGGGAGAACACAAGTGCGTACATAGTTCGATAAAAGAACACCTAGTGAGCTCAGGATATGCAGCTGTTAAATGGAGTGAAACCAAGGCATTTGAGCATAGTTGAGGCATGAGCTATCCCAAAGTCCAAGCCCACTATGTATTCAAAAGAAACATGTCCCTCCATTGTCTCCACTATGATCATCATAAAAAAGCCAATTCTCTATTACCTTTCTCATACAATCTTCCTGTTTATTTCTTTTAGTTTTACGTCTTTTAACTCCTATCTGAACTACTATATTTTTTTATTCGAACTTCCTGCCTATTATTTTGTTACTACTACATCTTTAGTCCTTAACCGCACGAAACGTTGATTTTCTCAGTAATAATGATACTACTTTGTTTTTATTTGACCTTCTACAGTGTTACCATATAACGAGGGGACATCTGAGACCCTCCCTACGTAGGATTTCTCAATAAAGTAGGAATTGGGGTGGTATTCAAACCTACAAACTCACCCAGGTAGGACAAGCTCTGTAGGCCAAAGGACCCCGCTGACCCAATTAAACAAAATAATATAGTTTACAAAATACCTTGCAATGACTGTGATTTGGGTGAACTACATAGATCAAACCAGTAGATCGGGAGTTGTGAGATTATCAGAACATAAGAATTTAGCTAAGGTTAGAATGATTGATCCCACGAAGATAAGTAATTTAGAAAAAAAACTCAACAGTCGCACTGCATGCATTAACACACATCCACATAATAATAGGGTGAGAGAGGGTTGAAATTCTAAAAAGTAATATAGGTAGGTGGAGAAAGACAGAGGTCGATTACTGAGGCCTTGTTCATCGAGTCTACACCCAACACATGCAATAGAAGTGACTCAATGCAAATACCAGAGATACTGAAGATATTATTCCAACGAGTCAAATCAGACAGTGAAATAATATTATTTACTGGATGACGAAGTTTCGAACACAATTTATTACTGTTCATAATTATATCAGTTATAATTACACAACTTCGAAACTTTCGTTTTATCGTTTTCTTTATTCCTTTCTATTTGTCGTACGGGTAGTAGAATTTTCCAGAAGACCGACCGGACATGTGTTGAATCATTCTAGTTACACGTATTTTCAGTTGATTCGATCAATACTGTTTCACTGTGTGATGTTCACGTTTGAAACGTCTAAATGGGGATCTTCTTTCTTCCTGTACTGAAACCTTTGGAGCAACGGTTTGCAAGAAAGGTGCTCAATGAGTATCTGAAGTACAGCGCAAGACTCAATGAAGTGAGAACTTCTGTGAATATATCGGGTTGGCTGTTATAGTTTAACTTCACCCTATTCAAGGTTCTGTCATCATCAATAAACTCAACTTATACTAACATCTACATATATACATCTGTTTCTTCAAGTATAAGATAAGACAAACTTTCCAAGATCCAATTATTACATAAGCTTGGATATACACCTATAATATAAAATTCTTCGATATTTCAAGAAATATGGACCTCATCCTTATTAGCGAATTAGAAATTATGAATTTCAGGGTAGATCTCATCACAAACAGAAATCAGTTAGAGTATCATTGAGAAGTAAGGACCACTGGAAATCTGTTTCATCCTAGTCTGACACTGTTCACAACATTACACACCCTATAACGTTAACAGGGATCGGACTCAGGATCTTACGGTTGTGAACCAAGCATGTTGACCGTTTATTCACTAAGCAATGCGCTAGAATCCAGTGACATACTCGAGTCATAACTTGGAGATCTTGGAATCGATGCCTGGTAAGGTCATGGGTAAAAGCTGCTAAAGAAACCCAAACTAGAGCGAAGAAACAATCCAGTTCACTTTGGTTATCAGCGATTCTCTAACTGATGTTGGTTTGTGACGAAATCTGCATCAAAATTAATCGGAAGTATTCCTTACCAACCGCATAATTACAGATTTCTACATATTTTAGAGTTGCAAAATACATCCAGCTACTATAACAGGAGAAACACCAGCAGCTGATTTTAGAAAACAAGGAATTTGGGTTGAAAAATGGTGGCAGAACCAACTGTACAAAGGGGAACGGAAGTATCTTAACAAAAGTACAAAGTAAGAAGAAATGACAAAAATTATTGAACCGGTTCACACGAAAATGAAGGTAATAATTTGTATATAATTTTTTGTGAGACTTTACACACTAAAAGAAACAAGGCATACTGATTCTTTGATATTTTTGAATGAAGATGGAGACGGTAGGGGCAATTTGACTAATTAAAATATTTACACAGTAACCCTAAAGGTGTGCGTCAGTCGGGTTCGACATCCGGATGACGCACTCCTTAACCACGCATAGTTGATGGTAATCCCGGTAAACAGGGAAGACTGGGTGTGAGACTAACAACCCACTCGGCTTCAACAGCATATATCCATTTCATTCTATTCCCTGCGATCCTCTCTAGTTGGCTCCACGATTACCCATAGTCTTTCATCTCCTTCTCGTACGATCTCCTCCATGTCACCTTCACATCTACGCCCAACTCATCGTTTCCCATTCGGGGTCAACTATTCTATGGCCTTGCCAGGGATGTCGCCTAACGGTTTTTTCAGCGTTTGTCCAATCCATCTCCATTTTCTTCGGAATATTTCTTGAGCAATAGGTTTTTCGTTGCTAATCTTTTCCGGCCATCTGGTATTCAGTCTGAACCGAAGACAGTTGTTAGTGAAAGTCTGCCTCAGCTTGTTGGGAATGCTTCAGGTGAAGCTCACGCCAAGTCTTTGAACTATGTAGAAGCACTGACTGTCTTGACACTAGTGTTGAAAATCTGAATCTTATTCCTTATGTCTAGTGCAGCAGATTTCCACAATGATTTCAGATTAATGAAGGTCTGTCGTGCTCTTTTAATCCTACCTTTGACATCCTCATCTGTGTCGATTGCATAATGTAGTTGAAACAATGGTGCATGGAGAAATGAAGAAAGAAGTAACTTCTTCCAAATGTCTCCCATTGATGGTGATGAGTGCTTGTTGTTGTTGGTTGACTATTTTCATCAACTCCATCTTCTCTATTTTCACTTGAATTCCCGTCTTCGTCACTTCTTCTGCCAGTTTGGTGGTCTTCGCCTATGGGTCTCCGAGTTTGTATTGTAACAACAGAAGACAAGGGCCAGGTAAAAGATCGTTTATTTAGGAAATCAACACATATTTATAGATTTTCGTGTAAACTGTTATAGATTATTGTAAGCAAAGAAACACAGTCTTCTGATTGATGGTTTCTCGCTGAACGTTAATCTTTCATCTCTTTGTGGCCGTTTATTGAAGTTCAG